AAAACATTACGGGCCAATTTTACTTGTGAACATAACATAGGTGCAGAAACTTAAATATTAGCAAAGATATCCAGTATTGTATATGGAAGGATGTCCTATCACAGCCAAATTAGATTTATTCCAACAATGCAAGGGTAATTTAACATTTAAAAAACAAAATCAACCAATCTAGGGGTGCCTGGGTGGCTCAGTCAGTTGAGCATCTGACTCTTGATCTCTGCTCAGGTCTTGATCTCAGGGGATCTCAGCGTTGTGAATTCAAGCCCCACATTGGGCTCCACACAAGGCATGGGACGTACTTAAAAAATAATAATAAAAAAATTAAATAAAAAATCAATGTAATTCACTGTTTTGAGAATAAAGGAGGGGAATCTTATTCCACTAAATATAGCATTTGATAAAATTCAACTTCCATTCATGGTAAAAATCTCAACGTTTTTTATTTATTTTTGGGACAGAGAGAGACAGAGCATGAACGGGGGAGGGGCAGAGAGAGAGGGAGACACAGAATCGGAAACAGGCTCCAGGCTCCGAGCCATCCACCCAGAGCCTGACGCGGGGCTCGAACTCACGGACCGCGAGATCGTGACCTGGCTGAAGTCGGACGCTTAACTGACTGCGCCACCCAGGCGCCCCAAAAGAGATTTTTTCGTATACTGATCTTATATCCAGCTACTTTGTAATTTATCTATCTTGCTACATTCTCTTAATTCTAACAATTTATGTGTTGACATTTTACGTATTTCTACTAAAAAAAATTATATCATTTGAGAATAATAACAGTATTATTTCATTCCTAGAATTCCTTAATCTCTTCCTTCCCTTCCCTTCTTCCCTCTCTCTCTTTCTTTCTTTGCTTTATTACACTATCAAGAACCCCAGGACAAAGTTGAATAGAGGTAATATAATCTTTGCTGAGATAACTATAACCAGATTAGACAAGTTCAATTCTATTCTTTGTTTCCTAAGATTTTTACCATGAGGGGCGCCTGGGTGGCGCAGTCGGTTAGGTGTCCGACTTCAGCCAGGTCACGATCTCGCGGTCCGTGAGTTCGAGCCCCGCGTCAGGCTCTGGGTGGATGGCTCGGAGCCTGGAGCCTGTTTCCGATTCTGTGTCTCCCTCTCTCTCTGCCCCTCCCCCGTTCATGCTCTGTCTCTCTCTGTCCCAAAAATAAATAAAAAACGTTGAGATTTTTACCATGAATGGAAGTTGAATTTTATCAAATGCTATATTTAGTGGAATAAGATTCCCCTCCTTTATTCTCAAAACAGTGAATTACATTGATTTTTTATTTAATTTTTTTATTATTATTTTTTAAGTACGTCCCATGCCTTGTGTGGAGCCCAATGTGGGGCTTGAATTCACAACGCTGAGATCCCCTGAGATCAAGACCTGAGCAGAGATCAAGAGTCAGATGCTCAACTGACTGAGCCACCCAGGCACCCCTAGATTGGTTGATTTTGTTTTTTAAATGTTAAATTACCCTTGCATTGTTGGAATAAATCTAATTTGGCTGTGATAGGACATCCTTCCATATACAATACTGGATATCTTTGCTAATATTTAAGTTTCTGCACCTATGTTATGTTCACAAGTAAAATTGGCCCGTAATGTTTTCTTTCTTACAACGTCCTTGTCCTTGTCTCCTCCTTGATAGAGGAAGAATGAGGTTGGAGGTTGGGGGGGG